TTTCATGTGGCTTGTTAGCACTTGCGGCAAGCTTTGCGAGTACTACATATATTGGTTAGTATTGTGAGAGATAAATACAAAAAGTACAGATATATAATGTTAAAATATATGAATTTCGCATTGTGATAATATTTTGATGCGTTCGGTGTTTAGTTGCTCTAATTGAATAATTTTTTATTTTATTACTTTCTTTTTTATTCTGAATAAATAATTGATTAAGACTTAATGTCATGAATCTTAGGACAGATTTAAAACAATTTTCTTACGTGCCACTCTATCTGTAAAAATATAACTTTGAAGATCAATTTGCAAACACTACCATTATTCCTTCACTAAATATTTTGTATTATCATACAAAGAAACAAATAAAGTGATAGCAAATCTTTTCATTTTAAATATCTTTTATAATATACTTACCACCAGTATGCATCAGATGCCACCAACTTTAATCATCGTTTTGGATTATAATGTATCTTGTGACAGATCTTTTCCTCTATATTTTTTTAAATTTATTTGAGTTTTGCTTTATTTCTGGTTTGCTCAGTATATTCTCACAATAGTCTATGGTAAAAAAAATAATATATCAAAAAAATACTGGAATTTGCTTCTAGGTACTATAATATTGATACTTTTTACGTTTTAGTAATTTTTTGGAGTTTACACTAAACAATTATGCAAAATCATTATACAATGTTTATCTTAAATATCTTCTTGAAATTTGTTTATTGCAATAGAATTTATATTCTATTACAATAAATAAATTCCAACATACAGCAATGCTGTGAAAACAATGTAAGAAGTCGAAAACGCGTTTGTTGCGCGCATGAGTCGGAAGGCAACTTGTATAATGCTTCTATAAAAAAATTACACAAAGTTAAACTCGACTTCTTTCAAACTCTTAATTGCTCTGTCAAGCAAACTAAATTGAGTGATAAAACTTTTCGAACGCTCTCTCATGGTTTGTGTTCTTCACCATTCAGGCCTGAAGAAACAAAATAAACCTTTATTGTGATTATATTAAAAGGATCCTTCATGTATTGCACGAGAAATCTGCCAAGTTAGAGGATATTTAATTAAACATGTCAGAAGTGAAATGAGTGGCGAAATGAAATAAGAATAAATTTATGAAATGCGTATAAATATTCAAGGTGCGTGGTAAAATAATTTATAGAAATACCTGGGCGTTTAGGTACTTGTAAAACTACATACTTGGAAAACCTAACTTAGATCAAATAGTTGCATATGAATACTAATAAAATACTAATTGTTGCCGTTTTTATATATATATATATATATATATATATATACAAAAATATTCATTCGTAATTGTCAGCTTGGAGTATGTGATACCTAACACATACTCCCAGCTGACAACATGTTCGTTTGGAATAGTCTTTTTTATAATAAAATATATTATTTAATTTAATTTTACAATTTTTTATAATTTATCATAACTCGAAGTTTTATCGATTGTTTGGTTCATATTTATTTTTTTCGTGCAATTTCGTGTTGTTTTTGTGTTTTTTTTTTCAAATTTATTTGTATGCACTGAAGATGGGTCAAATCAAGACCCGATACGTATGTTCTCTGAAAAAAAAACATTTTCTTTCAATAAAACTGTTTTTAATTACTGGGTGGATGCCCAAGAACAATTTTATCATATATATATATATATATATATATATATATATATATACATATCCATTACCTTTGTCAGAACATACATATGTCTGGAAATATATTCGGTCGTAATATAATTTGATCACATCATTCGAGGAATGATAATTTTCGCGGCTGTAGCTAATAACTTGGGCAATAAACATCGGTAACGATCAATTTGAAAATCTGAAATCATTTTCCAGATCGCTTGCTCCCCATCGCGCTTGTAAACGTTCAGTTATCTACCCCTAAATCACTTGCGGAGTGATATGTCACTTTAGCTACCCCTCGAAAGCTATACTTCAAAGTTCAGACAACGGCGATGGTTTTACTTACCAAAGTATTTGTATTTGAAGCTACTTAAACGAGTATTTAGAAACGGAGCTGGCTATTTACATATCACAAAACAACTTATTATGGAAGTGATTTGCTTTGGGTGCTTCATAAACATATGATAATGTTGTACGACAAAGTTAAGAATTGAGATGTAGCATGAATAATTGAGAATTGTAGATATATTTCAATCATAGATCTTCATAAGCAGAAACTGCAAATGTATATATATATATAATGTAGAGCAATAGTTTTTAATATAATTATTAATATAAGGTAGTACGGAGCACAAAGGTCCAATTTGGCTTTAAGTAGTTATACTGCCTAAACCAAATAAGCTTTATCCCTACCCACATAAAAAACAACTATCAAAATATGTTCAGTTAATACTCAATTAATATTTAATTATATAAATGTGTTTTATTACTATTTTTCTAAAATTTGTCATCTATTTTTTACCCCGGGTGAAATGGAACAACCAGTATGCAACCAGATTCAATGTTAATGTAATTTTAAGTTTAGCGGATTTTCGAATATATAGCTACATTATTCAACCAATGCAAAATATAAATTTTATGGGTACATTTTTCACAGAGATAATAAATATTTCTGATCTGAAATACCAGATCAGGTTTACATACAGTGTTATCTTTGTAAAAATGATTCCATGAAATTTATATTTTGCATTTGTTGAATAATGTAGCTATTAATTTGTTAAATCCGTTTATAATGAAAATTAAAACATTGCTTCTGGTGCTCCCTAGTAGTCTCAATTCGCCTCAAGTCCAGGTGACAATTTTTTGAAAAAACAGCTAAAGAATACAATTTCTACAATAATGATTTAACTGGGAGTTTTACTGAACATAGCCAGATAGTTGTTTGTTTGATATAAGTTATTTGCTGTGATATAATTGATCTCTTTTAAATTACTATTTTTTATATTGGCATTTTTCACTTTGATACAGGAACAGCTGAAATAGTTTTAGTTAAGAGAAAACATCTTTAGGATTATAAGATTTTTTAGTATATTTCAATAATAAATTAATTAATTACAATATCTTGAAGAGTTAGTCTTTAAGTTAATTATAAATTTTAAAAATATTCGATTTTCATTTATGTATCATTCTTTTGATAAATCTTCTATAGTAGCTTGTCTGACAATACTATTGTTCATATCTCTCACTATACAAATGCATCTATTTTTCTCACCATCCAAGCATTTATGTCCCTCGTTAAAGGGATGGATATACAGACATTGCAACAAACACTTTGAATCTAATGCGCTTGTATCATATGAACACATAGGTGGGTGTGGATCTAAAGTATAAAAATGCAAAAATATTGAATATATAATATCTTTTTCATAAAATAAGATTTGTTGATAGCAAAAATTGCTATTGCAAGCCAAATACAAACTTTACCTAGAATTTCATTTAAAATTATATTATTTGAAAAACCTAGTTCTTAGTTGTTATATAATTTTAAAGAGTATGAATATATTTTTTTCCATATAAATTAAGATTATGGATAGTATAACTACTTTCATTTCAAGTTTGGTTTTCACAACAAAATTGTTCAAAGTCAAATTGGACCTTAGAATTGTTATTCTGCTATTTTTTTTCAACGAAAATAAATAGTAAAAATTTCTCAAACAGTGTGTGTATATATCTTATGTCTATTTTATAATTTGATTAGAGTTATTACTTATTTCAATTTACCATTAAGATTGACGACCAAAGGTATTGCAACCGGTCTTTCAGCACTAGGTACGGCCAAGCAAGATGCAGCAATTAAGGCAAAAACTAACAACAGCTTCATTTTTAGTTTCAGTTTTAAAAATATTAAATGTGAAAATTATATAAATTAAATTATTATATCGTTTGAATTTTGACATAACATGTTTTCTCTGAAATTTCTTTCGTTTATATACTAAATTTAAAAACCTTATCATGATATTGCATGGATTAACTATGGTAATCGCTTATTTAATTTTAAATATATTTAAATTGAGGTTAATAAGTGTATTAGTCATGACTAAATCTTTTCGCATCTTATATATTTATAAAATAGCGTTGCTGATAACGTTTTTGTGTCAGTGAAATATTAAAATAAATCTATTAGTAGAACATTGACTTTAAGCAACTACATATAATTTTTGCTTGTGTGTATGATTAATTTTCAAAGATTTTTTATTTACAATTGTCGATTATATATAAATTTTATATTCACAAATGTTTTTAATTATTTTCTCTACTAGCTAAATTTATCCTTCATTTTTATCAAGTTTCTTATATGTATTATTTTTTCAAATGGTTAGAAGGATTTATTGCAAATTCATCTGTTTCATCAATTATTTTAGTATTATTTTTGTTTTGTTTTATGTTTATATTCAATGGTTCATTTATCCATTTATTGATGATTTTTCTAAAATGGGTAAAAATTATTTAAGAGTTTGCTTTATATTCTATAATAGTCGAAAAACAATCAAAGTTGAAAAATGCTAGGAAAATCATTGCTAATGGTGTTGATTAATTTTGTCAAAGATTTTGTCAAATAACTACATTAATTAAGAGATTGCTTTATATTCCATAATAGTCGAATAAGTTGAAAAAGTCTTAGGTAAATCTTTGCTAATGGTGTTGATTAATTGTCAAAGGTTTTGTCAAATATTTACATTGTAATTAGGATATGGAATTTGTCACAGATTTAAAACGTGTAGAAACCTCATTATAACTCGTCTTTGTTGATTAGTTCAATTATGCTTATATATTTGGATATTCGTGTCACATAAATGCAATATGCTTTGATGAGTTAATACTATGTAGTAAGTGAAAGGTGAAACCCAAAATTCACCTAGTATCATTTAATTCATAACTGTAATTTGAAAAGTTACTATAAGACTTACCTTATTGTTATTTTACAACTTTGCCCTACATGTACTATCCTTTGTTTCTTTCTCTAAAAAAAAGTAATATATAGGTACTGAATATAATAACCAAAACACATACGTTATAATTTGTAGGTATATTATATATTTTGCGCAAAATTTTTAACACGGTTTTAATCAAAGTTCATCTAATATATTATGCTATATTAAATTTCTTCAATTTCTGCAGTAACAAGTTCCTTTTTTGCACGCGCCTCCTCTTTTTCCTAGAGATATGCACCGAGCATTGCATAATCTGTTTCCTCCAAGTTGGCATACTACACGTGGTGCTAAAAAAATAAAAAAATAAAAATTAAATATATATTTTTACTGTAAAAATGTAGATAACTATTTTTACTGAATAATGTTTATTGTAGAAAATATTATTGAAATTCAGCAAAGCAAAATATTCTTGGATATTCTATTCTAAAATATAATAGTTATGTGCTCTAATAAATATTCAATAAATTTCTTAAATGCACTATATAATAATTCAAGTTATTATTTTTCTAAAATATACCTGGCTCTACATCATTCAAAGAAACCTGTGACATTCTCACTTCGAATTTCTCATTTTCATCTGGTGTGTCTTCTGCCATTGTAACAGCAAATAAAACCACCAACACTAACCCGAAAACCACTAAATTCTTCATATTGACTTTGAAATTGTTATTTTTGCTGATTTAGCTGAGTTACTTAATTGTTGAAAGTTAAATAACATAATAATTATTGCCCAAGGCTTGTCAGAATTTATAGGCATCTATCTCTAAGTACTTCTAGATAACGTGAGAATGATATTTAAGAGCTATATTTACTTTGATACTAATAGTGCTTCCCCGATATCGGAAAATTATTTTTATTATCGAAAAATTTTAAAGTAGGTACTTGAAACTCAGGTAATTGCCACTAGAAAACTCACCAATTGAACAAATCAACAACAAAGTGCTTATATAATGACAAAAATATTTTTCAAAAAAAAAATCCTATTAAAATTAGATGCCAACTTTTTTTATACTAATGTAAGGCAATTTATTCAATTTATTTATATTAGTTGCAGTATTATAAACTTGTGTATTGAGTATTAAAAAATATTGAGTAAGTTATATACTATTTTTGAAATATGCATACGGCAAATATTTATCTTTAACATGAATTGTCTCAACTTGTTGTATCAACCCCGCATATATTATTAAATGTTGAAATATATATATATATATATATATATATATATATATATATTAATTAGAAAGTTTATTCTGCCCTGGTCTGCACGTGCATTATTAACAAGAAGTTTAATGGAATACATTTTACGATGTCGGTATATGCATTTATTATTTGTTAACGACTGTACGCGTGACCCCGATTAAAATATTAACGGTTTGAAATAATAATGAAAGTGTACAGTTTGCACGCAACTATGTATATATGGAGAGAACCGTCAGTACTAAATTAAACATTTTACCTGACATCACAAAATCCTAAACCGAATGCTTCTCCGAAGCCAAAATAAGTGGACAAAAAAAAACAATTTATTAAAATAGTAATTAAGTGAATTTTGGATGGTTTTTGCCTGATTAACATAAATTTCAACTCATATTTTGTTTTTGAGTTTACAAAATCGGTTAAAAATTTTTAGGCAAAAACGTTGACAAAATCCTTCGTACGCATCTTATTATCTGCTAATTATAAAAAAACACCTGGGTCAATCATCACACATTCTTTTCAAGGTATTACAACATTTCATTTCATGGTTTCGATAGTTTTTTATTCAGTTTATCAATTTTGTCAATTTCTAGAAAGATCTAGAAGCCCTGATAGTGACAATATCAATGTTAAAATAGTTGGTAAAACTACTGAAGATATGTTTTGGTACAATAATTACAGACTTCCAAACTTCATAATTAACCAATAATTTATTTTTTAACTTCCATAAATATCATGTGAAATGATCTATTACTTCCTATTTAACTTACTCCTCCTTTCCTTATTGTCTCTAATTCTACCATATCTAAATATATATTTATGGTTTATTTTATATAATTTTTTTATAATCTTTAATATAATATATTTGTTAATTCCACTATAGCATAGTTTATTATGTAATTTGAATGAATCTATTGATATCAATTGGATAGATGTGCAATTTGTTATTATTATATTTTTGTATTCACTCATAATAGACAAATAAAGATTAAAAAAAAAAGAAAAAAATGCCAAAAAAAAAGATGGGAAAAAGTCTGCTCATTTCCAATTTTGGTGTCACACAATTCAGAATGACTTGAAACGTTGTGAAAACCTAAACTGCAATTCAAATTTTTTGACGAAAATATACAGTTTTCTTTTGGGAAGTTCTTATCACAATTCTGCTAATGAATATTTCTGACAAAGTACCAGATCAAGGTTATATACAGTGTTCTCTGTGATAAATGCACCTATTGATATTTGGCATTGGTTGTATACTGCAGCTATTATTTTGGAAAATACCTTGAAAATTAAAAATAAGACATTGTACATGTTAGCCGCTAGGCTTTCTTATTTCACTTCGCTTATGGGGTAAAAAGGTGCAACTCACAAATTTTCGAAAAATACGTCAAGAAAACACTGAATTAGCAAATCAGATTCTTTGACGAAAACATAAACTTCTCTTTTGGAAAGTTCTTATTACAACTCTGCTAATAAATATTTTTGATCAAATACTAGATCAAGGTTATATACAGCGTTAACTTTGTAAAACATGTATCTATGCATTTATATTTGGCATTTGTTGTGTAATGCTGGTATTATTTTGGAAAATGCCTAAAGCTTGGCTTTCTTATTTCACCCCGTTTATGGGGTAAAAGGGTCCAGTTTACAATTTTTTAGCTGGGAGTTTTACTAAACATAGTCAGATAGTTGTTTGTTTGATATGCGTTATTTTATTTAATTGCTCAAAGTCAAATTGGACTTTTGTGCCCCTTACTACTTGTATGTGCGTGTAAATATTTGACTAATTATTAAATTTTTAATTATCGTTTTTGCAAAAATAACAATTTGCTGTTAAATTACCTATGATACTCTGTTAATTATTATCGTGCAGACTGCAAAATGGCTTTTAAGCTTTTCACATGTTCATTATACAATATTGACAACCGATTAGTTTTTAATAGCATTAAATTTAATAAAAGTATTCAAATTGTAATTTGGAAAAATGAAAAGCTTCACAATGTCAATAGGTGTATAAGCGGTTATCGCATTTTATTAATCAATAAAATTTTATTAAATTGAACTAGAGATGGAAAAGGTCTGTTGTAAATTAACAGATATTGGTCGTAGTTAAATTATTTACTTTTGTTTTAATCAATTAAGAAATATTTGGCGTAAATCAGAATCAATATATAATAAAAAATAATAAAAGACTTTGGATTGGTTTTTAGTAGTAGGTATTATTTATTTGGCATTGATTGCAGATAATAATTTGATAAGAAAGATTGTCTTAAGACATGCTCAGGTTTAGGGCATTTACTCAGGTTCAGGCAATTTACTAAAGTACATATATAGGGGAGCTAAGTGCTCGTTTTAACAGTTTTTACAACTATTTCAAGTTTCCAGTTTGCATAATGTAAATCGGAGTGGTTAACAATACAATCAACATTATCATATTTGTTGCAGAAAATTTACATATCCATTGACATCCTATTGATAGTCATATGCGCAGTATACATCATAACTCTATCATATTTCCTCCAACCACCTTTAGATTAATTTGCTGTTGTGATAATTATGATCAAACAAGACCTGGGAATAACTAGGTTGTCGCAAGATTTTGAATATTGATTGCAAACCGCCCCATTACATCAACCCCTTGATAGAATTTTGCATGCCTCGTCGATCGCATTCTAAGCAAACTCCTTCTTAATACAAATATCGAATTGAAATTGTAGATATTCATATTCGTGTAATAAGCTCGTGATTAAAGGATATGTAATTTAATTATTATAATGATTTGCATATGTGTAGAATAATAATGGAGTTCATGCAACGTTCATCTTTGTCATGATGGTAAAATTTGGTGCGAATATCTTGGTTGTTATTGTTATTTGAATTTAAGTCCTTTATTGTTAATATGTATAGAATAATATCGTTTTTAAGATATATCACAAACACACATTGATACGTTTACAATTTTAGAACTTTAAAAATACCTAAGTTAAATAAATGAGTTAGGTACTCCTATATTAAAAATAGATGAACATATGAATAAATTACTAAGACTATATTTCTCAATGTGCCAATTATGATTAATTAAGAAATTACTTATGCAAAAAAAAATTCAAGAATAAATACAAAACTTTACATGACTGCTAACCTTAGTAAAATAGTTTCAGATATTATTAACAACAAATTTTTCACAACTATTTGCAATTACTTTGGTTATATTATACTAAGTAAAAAAATAGAACATTTGAAAAAAAATGTACGTTGCCATAAAAAATACACGTATTTCATAGGAATAAAGTTTCTTAATATCTACATATATTTATAAATTATTTAATTATAAAATCTAATTGATTCGTGAATTCTCAAATATGCATTTAGTTCAAAAATTTAATGTAATTCTTTTATGGATCAAGATTAATATCATAGCATTTATTCAGAATTAATTGTCACATATTGTCGGCTGAAAAACTTTTTTTTTAATTTCCAGAACACAATAAAATATTTTCTTATAAAAAACATGAATATTAATTCCAATTCTATACATGACACATATTTTCAAATTAAAAAACTAAAGCATAGATATAGTGAATACTGAATACAATACCTCTATACCGGTATACCAAAAATAAACGGAATACCAAAGCACCGGAAACCGGTATACCGGTATAACGGTAAAATACCGAAATACCGGTATTAATTTTTTTATCGGTATTTTATTCTCCATTACAGAATATAGAATCTTCAACAACATGTCAATTGGAATAATGAAGTGATCAATTTTCTATAAAATATTCATGATTCTAAATGTCAAATTATTTATAGATGTGTAAATAATGAGTATATGACGATTAATCAAGTCTTTATATCGTTTCGAGGCACGATTAAATAAATACTACAATAAGCAATTTTGTTTTGTTTGTTTTTAAACAACTATCAGAAGTTTTGAAATCTTGAAAACTGTTGTGCGGATAATAGAAACCTAATAGTTGATCTATTCTAGTTCAGATATTTTTGCCCTATTATATATTTTAATATCACAACTACTTGATATCATGATGCACGAAATGCAGGATTTAAACTCTTATCCTTGTGGTTGAAAGACTGAATCTCATAGTAGAAGCTATAAGTAGTACTGACTGCAATTTATTATATTATATTATAAATAGCAATAAAAATAGGGGGTGGGGGCATCGATTTTTATTTGAAAATTGGGGACGTAATATTTGTCTTAATGAAAGCAGCTTTCACATTGCTATATTTATAAAAAAAAAGGTATCAGTATGACAGAAACTATTACCGAACTAATAACATCCATCACATAGAGATGAGGCAAGTGTTCCTGTAAAACTATAAAATCGACGTAGTTAGTTGAATCAAATCATCACAAAATCTTAGAATCTCAAGTTTTTATTGCTTTTCTTGTAATATATGCAAATTAAATAATAATTTTTAATAGAAATAAAATTTTACTTTGGTGCAGAATAAATTCAGCATTACCAACTGGCAT